GTTCGTTCTGCCTTTGGCTGCACAGACGAGCACAGAACACTATTTAGAGTCCCAGCCTCAGAGGAGACAACAGAGCAGTGGATTTATTGATTTATTTAATGTATATTGCTGCTGCCACACAGATCTAAAATAAACAAGCAATTTATTTCCCAGCTGTTTACCATCACAGACATAACCGACTGTTTTTGTTACTCATTTGTGTTTTTAACTTGAGTGTGAATGAGAACTTAGTTTAGTACTCACATGCTGTGACAGCCGCTTTCTGTCCGTGTGCTTCGGATGTGTGCACTCAGAAAACCGTATATCAGAAGTTTTAACTCGTATGGTTTAAAACGCATGATTTCAGTGCGATAAACATGATAATCAGAACCAAAACAGATGTTTTTTAGCAGATATGAGCTGTAAAGGCGCAGCTCTATTCTGGAAAAGGGGGCGGGGAGCAGCAGCTCATTTGCATTTAAAGAGACAGGCCCGAAAAACAGTGTGTTTCTGCTTCCACTCAAAATAGGCATTTTCAAAATTATATAATAAATGATCTGTGGAGTATTTTGAGCTGAAACTTCACAGACACATTCTGGGGACACCAGAGACTTATATTACATATTGTAAAAAGGGGCATAATATGTCACCTTTAACTGAACTTATAACCATGGGAGACCACAAACATGAAGACAGTTTCAACCAATTTTAGTGTAATAATCCTTTAAATGCGCACACTATGGAGACTCGTAAGATCGAACATGACTAGAGAAGTAAAACACATGGAGGACAAATAGAAAAAAAAATAGAAAAAATAGGGGAAAAAAGAATATGGGTGATATTCTTTCTCAGTATACTGTACTTTCGTGGCATGTTTGTGGTTGCAAAGTTTCAGCTATAGAAGCACACAACATCTGTTATGGTGACGCTTGCTCACTCTCATTGGCTATCGCGGGTATCATGTCAGAGGAGCCCGATCAAGTAAGCAATTAAATAATCGTAATGACACCACACAATAGAGGATTTTTTGAACAAAAAATCGTTTGCGACAAGCCTCGAATCGGGACATGCCACCATTGTTTGGGTATGAAAATCGGGCTTAAAATCGGCCTTAAAATCTTCAAGTGTGTGGCCACCCTTAGTAAGGCAAAAAACACTAATAATTACTTTCATTAAAATAAAAAATTCATAAAAAAAAAATTTTTTCTGGGTTAATCATTATGTTTCTACACTATCAGGAAAAAAAAGGTACAAAAGCTGTCACTGGGGCGGTTCCTTTTCAAAAACTATTAATATGTACCTTTAAGGTAACAATATTCAACCTTTAGAGGTAAATAAGGTACAAAGTTGTACATTTTGAAAAGGTACCTTTCATTTGGACCTAGAGTGTACAAATGAAAACCAGTTCCTTTAGTTTAATATTTACAGAATCAAATTACTGTATGTTGAACTTTTACATCCAAGATAAAAAAAAAAGCATCAATATTCGTATAACATCTTACCTTTAGGATCCAAATAATTATAGTTCTCATCTTTTGGATTTCTCTTCAGATTATCAAGTACATCTGGCTTTACTTTAATGAGAAATATTATTGACGATAATTAATTCTTACATTTTACAAATAGTCTGTTAATTTAGGAAACTATTATACATTTAAAATATGATTAACATATTATCCACTTTTATTAGACACAGACAACAGAGAGTGACAAGAAACCATTGAGAAACCCAAATCACCCACATGACTCAACACATCCAGACAACATGGGTTAACTGCAGAACAATATGTTTTTCAGTAACATGTTATAAGTACTCACCAGCTGCTGGGTTGAAAAGTGTGTGAACTCTGACTGTAAAACAGCAGATAAATTGGATTATCTCTTTATGCAACAGTCCTTAAATCTGACATTGCTTAAATGACATTATGTTGCATGTCTTCCAACAGATTTTTATTAGATTGGAATTTGTGTGATACAATCTCAGTTGTTGAATGAATGAACATACAGTGATGTTTTGATTTCCTTATATTCAAGCAGGAAATACTGAATCACTTTACAAACATAATCACCTACATTGTTTTTAATTTGGAATTTTTAGAATAAAAGGCACTTTTGTGCTGACATTCTTTGCAGGACAATACTTCCAGACTGCTTTTATTCCAGCAGCAGGGGATCTGAATAAATAATGGTGGTCTTTTAGCCTTTTAATAACTTACCAGTTGTTGTTTCTACTAGATTGTCATTGACCGATAAGACTGTTCCACTACCATTCTTCTCAAGCAGGACTGGTATGTCTTGAGTCACTTCACAAACATAATGACCTGAAGCGTTTTTAAGTATGTTTGTGAGATTCAGAATTGAACAGTTCTGTGTTTTATGCTCTTGGAGTACCTGCTTTACTCCGGTGTGTTTTTTCTCATTGATGTACCAAGCAACTTTAACTTTCTGTGTGATTTCATTCCAGCAGCAGCTGATGTGAGTAGATTCTCCTTCATTCACAGTGATGCTGGATGGACTCTGAATCACAGACAGATTCTCACTTGAACCTGTGAGAAAAGCATAAACACACAAAACACATGAACGTTTTGTTGTATTATCTTGTGGCTTTGAGGACTTTTCTGTTACTCAAACTGTTAGTATTTAAAACAAAACAAAAATTGAAAAATAAATAAATAAGTACTGGTAGTTTTTTGCCAGGACATTATTAAGCAATTTTACAGACATTTCCATTAACCCTCTGAAACACAGAGAGATACTCACTGGAACCTATGAAAGAATTGATCAACAAACCATTAACATTTGCTTTTATTCATTAAGTACACATGTATCCACATTTATACAAATGAGGAGATTTTTTTATGTGTCTGATCAATATTTCTGACTATATACTGTACATTTGATATTTAGAAACATTTTGTGCTGTAGGAACATCTACAGAAGCATACAGTACAATATAGTTTGTCTTAGTATTGGATGAAAAGTGAACTAGAGGTGTGATTGAAGCATATAATGTAATTATGTTCCATAAACTAGCCCTAGTTTATAAAAAAAAAAAAAAACAGCTACTGTAAATTGTAAAACAAAAATATCAACATCTTCCTCATACTAGCAGTATATAACATACACTGCCTGGTTAAAAAACAAGTCAACGTTTGGATTTAATTGAGAAAATACTTTAGAGTCTAGGCTTGGATCATTATTGCAGTGATTAATGTGTTTCTGGCATGTTATGTGTTTGCAAATTCTTATAACCATGACCAATTCAGTGCGAAAATGCTAAGATTGAAAGTCTTTAGGACGTGCTAGAGTCGACTTTTCAGAGTGGTTCGACTCTCCCATTGTCAAAAACAGATCTCAGCCAAAAATAAACAACTCTTGATGGAAATAAATGCTGTGATGTTGCATAAGGTTGCTGAATTGACTAATGCACACTTGTTATTAAAGCTAAAGGGGATTCAATTAAATACTAGAGAGTGCGACTTTTTTTTGGACAGGCAGTCCAAATGTGAACACAATTCATTTAAATACATTCAAAGCCAACACAACCTAACTAAACTAAAAAAAAAAATAATAATTATAAAAACACTTCAAATAAGTTGTAAGTGTACTGTATACATCACTGATGTAATGTTAACATATAACATACTTTAACCTCTGCAATTAAAAAAATAAACATGGTAACACTTTACAATAAGGTTCCATTAGTTAATGTTAGTTAATGTATTAACTAACATGAACAAGCAATGAACAATACATTAATTTCAGTATTTATTAATCTTTGTTAATGTTAGTTCATGAAAATATAGTCGTTCATTGTTAGTTTATGCTAATTCACAGTGTATTAACTAATGTTAACAAGCACAGTTTTTGATTTTAATACTGCATTAGTAAATGTTGAAATTCACACTAGCTAAGATTAATAAATACTGTAGAAGTATTGTTCATTCTCAGTTCATGTTAACTAAACTAATGTTGAATAATGAACCTTATTGTAAAGTGTTACCAAAAATATATTATAAAACAGAAGGCAGTATGTAATAAAGTTTATTACAAAATTTGACTGCATGAATTATGGCTAATAAACATGTGATAACAAAGACAAAATGCCATTATGGTAACATACCAAATAATGCTATAAACACTACCTAAACAAAAGACACTTTGAGCCCAAGATAATAAAAAAGAGACATAATTATTAAAATAACTAGTATTTTGAGCAGGTGTTTAGACTCGATGTGGCTCTTACCTCTGAAGCAAATGCAGGACAAAATGAGCCCACAGATCAAAGGGCAGGAGAGCTTCATTTCTAAGCATTTAATCACAAATCCAGCTAACATAAGTGCTGTCACACACGCTCACATTAAAACACACAATCAGTCATTACTTCCTCAGTGTCAGTGTCAGTGTGCCCAAAGGTTCATCTCATGCGATCCCCCCCCCTCTTTCTCTTCTGTCTTCTGGTCAAGGTGAAGTGTGAAGAGTGTGGTAGATCATAGTTAACCAACAGCACCGTTTGTTGTTCTCAATATTCTCAAAATGGATCTAACTTTACCCAATACTTATAATGAATTGCTGTGTAACTCAGCACGACTGGTTTGATTTGATTTGATTTGATAAAATAAAAGTTTAACATCAGATTTTTTTTTTATTATAAACTATGCATTTTATAACTTTTATAAACTTATAATTTTCTGCTCATTCTGATGTTGAAGGAATTTATTTTGCAGTACTTTACAATGCAATTAAACTATGCAAAATAAGCACGACACAATAAATTGACGCAAAGGTAGTTTACAAATGTAATGATTACATTTTAGTGTCCACTGTAAAGTTCAACATATCAGTTTAACTAATTGACATTCTTAACGTTGACCTCCAGAATGGCTCTTAAACATCTAAATGCATGCTGGGCACTTCATTAAAAAACATTATGCTCTCCTGTCTGCAGTCTTTGCGTGTTAATGAAGTCAACTGCAGTGGTTGCTTTGGTTTGGGCCCTTCAGCTCTGCTGTCTGCACTGATGCACCTGTGATGCAGAATGATTGTTTTCCGCTGCTGGCTTGACCACTACTGCTTAAATAGAATAGCAGATGCAATGATATCCAGAATATATATATATAATATGAGCTAGTTATTAGCCAATGAGATACAGATGCTGTGAACAAACAGCATTTAAAGGGGTCATAGGATGCCCATTTTCCACAAGTTGATATGATTCTTTAGGGTCTTAATGAAAAGTCTGTAACATAGATTGGTTAAAATTTCTCAGTGGTAGTGTAAAAAATCACTGTCAAAAACAGCTCTTTTCAGAGCATGCAGATTTGTAGCAAGCTCACTCAGGGCGGAGCTAAGGTAAGACGCCAGTCCAGTCTGTCAAACTATCGTGGGAGGGGCCTGTTTTTGTGACGTCACACAGACAGGCATCTGAGATCGGCTCGATTTGAGAAAGGGGTAAAGATTTTAGTAGATTAACAAAAAACCACTGGGTTGATTTTTTATCATTTTAGGGTGGTTGTGTACACACACTGCCAACACACATTTCAGTTCAAACAACTTGTAAAAGTGCATGTAGCATTATATTGACAAATTCAGTACATGACTGTATGACAACTTTACATATTTGTGCTTATATTTAAATTCATCCCAATATTTTTTCCTCAAACTGACACTTATTCCACAAGACCTTCCAGATCTGAGCTCTAAATTATTTTAAAGATTATACCTCAGCTTCATCCATTTGATACAACAGGACATATTCTCACAAGGTGCCTTGCCAGGAAGTGGCCAAGACAACATCCTGATAAACAGGAAGTCCATCAATGACTGGGTGGGCTTGTGGTTATCTAACATCTGTTACAATATATGTCTTTTAAAACCTTTCAAGCTAGTCTATTAAAGAAAGCTGTAGGGAGACTCATTTCCAGTTGTTTCCTGTTTTCAGTTAGTGCAGTTAGATTTTCTGATCGAGAGGCTGAATTTATTACAGTAAAAATTATTATTATCATTTAAAGTAGCTTCTTTCTATTTGAATATATTGTAAAATATAATTTATTCCTGTGATGCAAAGCTGAATTTTCACCATCATTACTCTACTCTTCAGTGTGATTCTTCAGAAATCGTTCTAATTTGCTGATTTGATGTTCAAGAAACATTTAATAGTATTATCAATATTGAAAACATTCTTTTAACTATTTTCAAAAAACAATTCACCATTTAAAAAGTATGGTATTTTTACGTACCTTGAAGAACGATATAAACCATATGAATATGATCATCTTTTAGTACCATGGTGTGTGTGTATATCTCATTGTGTACCATGGTGCTACCATCTGATACAATGACTGTGGCTTTAAACAACTTTGTATTCTCAGGTGGAGAGAAAGCACAGGAAATATCCTTTCAGACAAAGCTCAATCAGATCTGAGACAGTCTTCCTTCAAGCTAAATTCCCAAAACAACAACAAAAACAAATAGAAAACAAACAAAAAAAATCTATTTTCCTCATGTTCTGGTAATTTTGACTTGGAGAGGATTTTCTTTTTCCCAAAAAATGCTAGTTAATGTTATCACTTTTTTTCTCATCTTGTTACACTTGTGATCAAAAATTACTACACTGAAGGAAAAAAATACTGTAGAAACTATTTATACTCAGAAATTGATCTTAGAAAGTAACACATGGAATTAAACAAGCCATTTTGAAGTAGGGGGACTGAAATTGTACTTTCTTGTAAAACATACTCCAATAATCTTTGTTTTATTTATGACCTTGAAAAATATTTTTTACAGTCTAGGCTACAAAAAAAATAAATTGCTTGCAAATTACTTGTTATGTTATATTATTAACCAAATATTCAATCTCCTTATCATCTCGTTGTCTTTCAATTAGGACAGGTTTTGTATTTCTTTTTGGAACTGATTAATCATATAGGTGAGTGAATATTGCCAAAATTATTCACAAATGATGCTTTTTTTCCATTCAAAAACTGAGGTGTATAAGCTCAGATCAATAAGGCCGATGATCTATCAGTTCCAAAAGCAAATACAAAACCTGTGCTGATTGAAAGAAAATCAGCCAAAGATTAAATCCGAGATTTGATGATAATATAGTTTAATTGAAAAGTATTCAAGCAATTGTTTTTCAAAGGCTGGTCATTTTTGACCAGGAACACCAAATTAGGTCAAGGATTTTCAGCACGGCACAAGGGTTAAATGTACCCAGGACAAATGTAACAGTACTGAAAATGAAAGACTGCTTATTCATTTTACATCAATTTTTACTTTTGCTGAATCCTTAAACTTAATTTAAATTTCAGGTTTTTAAATTTCAGATTTTCAATGCAATTCTTCTGAACCCCACTGTATATGTTTATGAGCATTAAATCAGCGTTTCCTGTCATTTTGTACACCTCGTATCAGATTATTATGACCTTTCCATGTTTTTTTAACCTTAGGCTTCCTGTAAGAACATGGCAACTGCATCCTGACGTGAAATCATCAATGCAGCACCACACAGCGGTTTAACTTTGAGAAAACGCAGAAGACGATG